CCGCCCGTGGGCGTGCGCTCTCTGTGCCGGATCCCCATGGTTTGACTCCGTCTCTATAGCTGTGTGTGGTTTTGTTCTTTGCCCACAGGTGGCTCTCTCCACACACGCACGTCGTGCACACGCACAGGTGGAACGCGTGGACTTGCTGCCTCTGCACACGCACATGCTCACACCTGACAGCACGCCCACGTGCAGCCACAGGCGTCCCGTACTGCACGGCGGGCTTCCCACACCTCGCTCCGGCCACTCCCCGGCTGCTGGGCATCTCGGGATTGTAGCTTCAGAAACTTTCTCGTGAGGTGTTATGACCAAGAATGTGAGACTTTTCTTTGCGTGGACACTGGAGTCAGTTCTAAAAAGGCCCGTCTCCTTCCTCGCCCCCAGCACTGCCTGCTGATGGGATGGGTGCAGGAGCTTCCGGAAGGCTCTGAGGACCAGCGCTGGGCCAGGCAGTGGTGGCTGAGCTGACTCACCCCCAAGCACATGGGCGGGGGCTCTTTCAGGAGCAACTCCCCACAGCCCACGGCTCCTGGGTGTGAGCAGCTCAGGAGCCCGACCGTGCGCGCCTCCGTTCTCAGCTGTTCCCGAGCGTCACTAAACAGGCTTTAAATGTGTGGTAAACGTAGCAAAACATTAACATGGTAAAGAAGTACTTACGTTCCATTTATTCTTTTAAAAACACTATCCACCTCATTCTGAATGCAGAGGAAATTAAAGAGAGAGGAAAGTGAAGTTAAAGTGGTCAGCAGGTCCCGCACTGAGACGCTGGCGGGGACCCGGGCAGCCCAAACCCATGCCGCCCGCCGGGGCCGCTCCTTGGAGGTTCAGCACGCGGGGTGGAGCTGGCAGAGTCTCTGGTCCTAACCCCCCTCAAGGTCAGGGCCTTCCTGCCCCCCGTCTCCCCCCCCACCCCATTGTCCGAGGAGAGCAGTGGGGCAGAGCTGATTCTTTTTGACAAAACCAGAGCCTGGGAGCCATGGCCCCTCCCCGAGGAGGGGACACCACCTGGAGGTGGGGGCTGAGAGCCCGAATGGAGGGATGTGATGAGATCCACCTCAGGGCTGGGCCATCCCCCAGGTGCCTCCCAGGCAGCAAGCCCTCCAGGGTCCACTCTGACCCCGAGGCCGGTGGCCAGTGAGCTAGCCCCTCTCCCATTCCCGTGCCCAGGGTCCTGCCAGCACCCCCTGGGGGCCACTCAGAGCACCCAGGACCCCCATGCCAGACCCCCCATGCACTCCCTGCAGGCCCCGGAGCCGCAGAGGCACAGACGTTGGGCAGCCCCAGCGGGAAGGGAAGGTGCTCTCCGGGTCTCCAGCACCCCGAATCCATCGCTCTCCTCCTCGGTGTCCTGAGCCTGCCACAAAGCTGCCTGGGACCAGCTGAGAGCAAACCCGGGTCCGAGCTGCTGGGGACCGAGCCGGCCTGTGAGGGGTGCGGGAGGTGCCTGCCCGGCCCCCAGCTCCGTGGGGGAGCCTTCTGTGGGTGACGGTGCTGCGGCAGGAGGCCTCCAAGGACCCAGGGTCAGCCCGCTCTGTGGTGAAGAATGTGGTTCATCACACCACAGAGAGGGGAGCACTTCTGGGAAAACCACCCATCAGGCACCGAGGCCAACAAGGTGATGGGTCGTTCCCCACCCCCCAGGCCAGCAAGGTGATGGGTCATTCCCCACCCCCCAGGCCAGCAAGGTGATGGGACACCCCCCAGGCCAGCAAGGTGATGGGACACCCCAGGCCAGCAAGGTGATGGGACACCCTCCAGGCCAGCAAGGTGATGGGACACCCCCCAGGGCAGCAAGGTGATGGGACACCCCCCAGGGCAGTAAGGTGATGGGATCCCCCAGGCCAGCAAGGTGATGGGACACCCCCCACCTCGTGGAGGGCTGACCCTCCAACTCATGCGCCAACTACCCCCACAGCTCAGCCTTGGCCTTCCAGGAGCCCCAACACACACACACCACCTGCCACTTAAGAGCTTGGGGATCAGGACCCTCATGAGACCCAGGCCTCCTGCTGCCCCTCTGACCACGTGGCTTAAAGGGCTCTGATGCTAACACTGCAGTTAATATATAAAGGACCTTCACACCTGCATGTAAAATGCTACCTAACGTGTGTGTGATGTGTGTACGTGATGTACACAGCGTGTGTGTGATGTGTGCAGTGTGTGTGGTGTGTGTGGCATGCGTGTATGTGTGTGTGTGTATGTGTATGGCATGCATACTATTATGTGTATGTGGGATGTATGGGTGTGTGTGATGTGTGCAGTGTGTGGTGTACTTGTGTGGCATGTGTGTAAGTGTATGGCGTTGTGTGGGCTGTATGTGTGATGTGTGCAGAATGTGTTGTGTGATGTGTGCAGTATGTGGCGTGTTGTGCGTGTGTGGGGGTGTATATGAGATGTGTGCAGTGTGTGTGGTGTGTGTATGTATGTGGGGTATGTGTGATGTGTACAGTGTTTATTGCATGTGTGTGTGGGGCAGGTATGTGTGTGGTATAGGTGTGTGATGTGTGCAGTGTGTGGCGTGTTGTGTGTGTGTGGGGGTGTATGTGAGATGTGTGCAGTGTTATGGCGTGTGTATGTGTGTGTGATGTGTGCAGTTTGACCCCGAATAGAACCTACACAGCACCCCCTCTGGATGGACAGGACACTGCGAGCTCCCTCGGAAGGCAGTCCACCCCAGGATGCCCCTGCCTCAGGTGTGGCCGGTGAGACAAGGGGAGGTCCAGGTGGGCACGCGCCTTTGAGAACAGCGGACGCACAGCTGGAGCGCAGGGAGGCGGGTCTCGGCTCCTGGTCCACGCACCCTGAGCACCAGGGGCACTGCTCCTGCCTCCCTGGTCAGGGTGCCCGGGTGCCGACCCTCTCAGCTCCTCCCCCCTCTGTGCACCTCAGTGTCCCCCCAGGTCCTGCCCTGGAGGCGCTGGCAGGGGTGGGAGCGGCTCCCGGAGCCCCTCAGCAGCAGCGAGCACAGAGAGGGACGGCCACTCGGGAGGCGAGGCTGCGCTGAGCGACCCCTCACTCCTCCGCATTTGCTGTTTGGGGATCTTTGCCTCCCTCGGCCCCAGCCCTTCCATAAGCTTTGCAACTAAAGTCCCTGCGCTGAACACCCGAGTCTGAAATGCCAGAGTGCTCTGTGCTGAGCCAGCCTCGCAACCTGCTCTCCCAGCCCCGCTCCTCTCCCGTCCGAGGCCGTGTGCATGCCCGCGCGTGCGCACACCAGAGCACAGGTAACACGCCGAGCGCTCGCCCGTGAAAGTGCGTGGCTCCCAAGCTCACGGTCCACCTGTGTCTATCCTCCCCAGGTCACAGGAACCCAGCACCGTCTTTGTGGTCTGGCTCCCCCACCTCCTGCCACCACCTGGGCCTGCGCAGGCACCAGTGGCCACACGGGCTGGTCCGGAGCAGAGGGAGGGCGCCCCAAGGCTTGGGCACCGACCCAGCGGGGACAGGCAGCAGCTTGACATTCTTAGCGGCTCAGTGTTTATTTAAAATCTCAAAAACTAAACAGCCCGGCCCGTGTGGCTCAGTGGATTGAGAGTCAGCCATGCACCAAGAGGGTACGGTTCGATTCCCGATTAGGGCACAGGCACAGGTTGTGGGCTCGATCCCAACGAGGGGGCGTGCAGGAGGCAGCCGCCTGATGTTCCTCTCTCCCTTTCTCTCTCTATAAAATCAATAAAAACATATTTTAAAAAAAATCTAAAAAACTAAACAAAACAGGATTTGTTTCATTCCTCCTCTCTCAGCAGAGGACAGACCCCAGGCCTGTAACGTCTTTTCTCTTTGTGGCTGTTTAGACGCTCACACATGGGAGACCTGGGCGCCCAGGCTCTGCCTGAAGCCTGGGGCACACTCGAAGGTGGGCTACCTGCTCCTCCCCTGCCCCCCTTCCCCCCCAGTGCTTCCCGGGAGCCCTCCCGGTCCGAGGGCGCCCACAGGGCTGTCTTTCCCGCATGTAAACATCATCACACAAGTCGCTGACACAGTTCCCACTCCAGAGGCCCTGGGTTAATTCCTGAAATACCCACGCCTCAAACCCACACTGTCTCAGACACAGAAGTAACCCTATAGACCACGATTTAAAGCGTGCAGTGCCTGACTAGCCAGGGGCACCGGCTTCTTTTCTCTTAGATTGTCAAATAGGAAATGAGAACCATCTGGTGTGAATGAATCAAAATTACACCTATTTTTCTTTTTTTTGTCAAAGTGGAAAAAAATATTTTTGCAGAGCCACAGAATTTTAGTCATTAGTTTACATGTGCACAAGATGAAAAAGGTTGACAATCGCTCCACAGACCAGCGACTGGCAAGCCCGGGCCTTTGGGCCACGTGTGGCCGAGGCTGGTGTTTGGTTGATGCACAGCCACACCCACTGCGGGCAGCTCACGGGCCATCGGGGCAGAGCTGAGCAGGTGTGGCAGAAACCCTGCCTGCGGAGCCTAGAACAGCTAACAGTAGTCTTTGCGGGAAAAGCTGGCTGTCCCGCTGTCCAGAGGCATAGCTATGGGCTGACCATGAAGCTCCCGTGGCTGCTGGGAGATGCAGCCGGAGGCCCCTGCCCCCGCCCCCCTCACCAGGTGCCCCGCTCACCTGTGGCCTGGCAGAAGAGGTGGAAGGTCCCCAGGGCAGGCACGTGCTGGGCCTGGTCGCTGAGGAAGGGCGGCAGCAAGGTGACCCGCAGGCGGCCCTCAGGCCCAGAGCCCGAGGCCAGCCAGGGGCTTCGGGGAGAGGAGGACGAGTCGGGGCCCAGACAGGACAGGGAGGAGGACCCCGGAGGAGGGGAGGGCATAGGAGATGAGGCTGCGAGACAGAGGACAGAAAAGAGAGAGCACTGAGGCAGCAGTTGTCACGAGCACACCACATGCAGAGACGGGAAACGCGTTTAGGAAGAGAAGGGCCCACGCGGTCCTGCCTGCCAGGCCATTCCAAGAGGGGCCAGGAGACCCCACACCTGCACCCTTTCGGGAGGGGGCCGCAGGGCCTCAGCAAATCACGTGCCCACATCAGGATATAAGCTTCTCATTTATTCGGTTACTTTTCAAATGTATACAATTCAAAGTAGAAAAATAACAACAAATTAAATCTTATAAAACACAAATGTTTACACCAACACAGTGGAACTCTATCACGCTGTCCGCACAGGACACACATCCAGGTTACTGCTTTGCCTCGGAAAGGTCTCCTCTTGTGGGCGTTTGGACGGTGAGGTCCGTGGACGGTGAGGTCCGTGCTGTTAAACTGCACCGCCCGCCCGCCCCACCTTAAAGACGCGCAGGCCACCCGGGTCCGCAGGGCGGGTCCGCAGCACCGTGGACACGCCCGCCCTCCCTGCTCACTCTCCCAGCTGTGGACGCTCAGGTCGGCCAAGTGGAAAGGCTGCTGGGTAAGAGGTGTGGAACGGAAGCCAAAAGGAACAGATGTTCGGATGATCAGACTCCAGTGGCCATGGGCAATTGATTGTGAATCGCTCGTCCCTGCGCTCTGGGCCAGCCAGGCTCCCCAGGGGCCACCGTCCTCGCTCAAAACCCTGCCGGTGGTCACGGGGCAGTCCCCCACGCCCGCTCCTCTTCAAGACTTAAAATGAGAAAAATGGTACAGAAAGAAATCTTCTCTGAAAGGACACCTCCCTTAGGAATAAAATGTTTAAAAAGTCAGTGTGCTCAACAGGTGACTGTCTGCATTTCCAAAAGCAGAGAGAACGCATTTAGCAAAAGTAAGTTTATCCCTGAGAATCTCCAGCAACGGAAGCCATAGCGTATCCTAACATACAGCAAAACCTAGAAGATGTGCATCTTCTAAATATCAAAGCATCTGCTTTAGTGACTTAAACAATAAATGACCGAACACTTCAACTCAAAGCAAAATCCTAGAAACAATTATGTGGAGGAAGAGCTTCGTGCCAACCTGGACAGCAGGCGACCCATGACCCACTGATCAACTACACGTCCTTTCCAACCTGGGATGCGAGGCCTCTCGGGCTGCTTTCTGAGGTGACGGTCTAGTGCTGCTCCAGGCCAGCGGCTGCCCGGCCACCGCCCCGCCCCGCCCGCGGGCACATCTCCGGCTCCCACCGACTGACTGACGAGGAGGCTTGCCGTTTTCCAAAAGGACAAAGAGAAACCAAGTCACGAGTTCACCCCAAGAGAAAAGACACAAGACTGAGGTTTGCAGAGGACGGGCTACCCAGGCGGCACGGGACGAGGCTACTGCACAGGAACACAAAGACCCTCCCCACAGCGCCTCAGTCCCCGTCCGCATCCGAGTCGGCGAACTTCAGCTCGCACTTGACGTCGAACGGCCTGTCCCTGACCGGGAGCTCGTCGATCCTCTGCGAGTCCTCCCTGTCGGTGGGCGCCCTGCTGGCCGTGGTGTCCTGCTCTGTCTCGTAGCCGGTGTCGGGGGCCGGCCGGGGCTGCCCCCCGTTCTGCTGGGAGAAGCTGCCCGGCTCCACCAGCGTCTCCTTCACGCTCTGCTCGCAGTCGGAGAAGTCCGAGGCGGGCTGCTTCTTCCCCAGCAGCAGGGCGGAGCGGAGCCGCAGGCACGGCCCGGGCAGGAAGCCCTTGTAGCAGTTGTAGGAAAAGAGGCAGAGGCAGAGGACGAAGAAGAAGAGGAAGAGGGACAAGAGGAGGCGGTCGTTGCTGGACTTGAGGTACAGGGTCTTCTCCGACTGGACCTGGGGGACGGTGTGGATGATGACCTTTGGTTCGCAGGACGCGCTGGTGGGCGCCGGGCCGGAAGGTGTGGTGAGCCGCCCCGCTGGGGTCTGGGGAGAGGAGCCTCGGACGGACCCCGCTGACACGTTGGGGGGGGTCCCAGCACCTTCTGTCCGGGTGGCTGGCGAGAAGGCCCCTGAGGCCCGGGGGGCCGTCCTGACCTCCAGCACGTGCTTGGCCATCACCCGCGAGACCGTCTTGTTCCTGACCCTCTCCTCCGACAGGCACTGGTACACCCCGCTGTCTCCTTCCGACAGGTTGAAGATGAGCAGGGTCCCGCCCACCAGGCTGTACTTGGGGCCCTCGGCCCTGAGCACGCCGCTCTGGAACCTCCACACCACCCGCGCCAGGTTGGACTTTGGGGAGCATTTGAGCGCTGCGGTGCCGCCATGCTTGAGCAAATGCTGCCGGGAACTTCCCTTACTTTCATCTGGAACATCAAAATAGACGTGCAGTGTCAACAACCCTGCTCGCTACGTGACTTCCGTTAAACACAGTCAACACGCACAAGAGGACATGAGAGTTCCACCCACAGGAGCAACAAAGACTCTTCCAGAACAACTAAGGAGATAAAGACATGCATGAGCAAAAAGCAAGATGAGCCCTCGATGGCAGGCCCTGGGGACAGACTCGGAGGCACCTCTGAGCAGCAGAAATCCCGTCTCACACCCTGGCTTCCTGGGAGAAAACGTGCCAGGTGGGGAGGCTGAGCGCAGGCCAGGTGCGCGTTCTGACAGCCACGCTCTGAGTCAGACACGACGCGCTTTTGCTAGCGGCTACCGCACACCGCAGCCTGGCATGCCCTCCTCCTAAACCTGCCTTCGCTGCCCACAGCACCCTGGCCCCCGCAGCAGTGGGGTCGCCCATGGGAACGCCACCCGCCTGGACGTGACGGCTGGAGGACTAACCCTTCCTCCGTGCAGAGGGGCGGGTCGTGCTCCCTGAGCCCGAGCTAAGAGGAGAGAGATGCATCTCAAGAGAGGGCGCCACGCGGGACAGTGCCTCTGGGACACACACACACACACTCTGTGGCCACACCCATCCTTTCTGCAACTAGAGGCCCAGGGAAGCCACGAGGCCTGCCAGACACTGGCCCTCTGCTCCGGCGAGAAAGAAAATGCACAAGATGCCACAGCACCAAAGCATTGTGAGATGGTTACGAGAGGCCATTCCTGAAGGGAGCGAGAGAGAACGAGCAACTTACCGGGGCAAGCGGACACTTCCCCACTCATGTCCTGGATCAGATCCCTGCAAAACAAGGGCCGAGTGGGCACGGGCTCGCACGGGAAGGGCGGGCAGAGCCCCTGCATGCGCACCTCCCCCCGCCGGTACCTGCGGGGGCTCTCGGTCTGGTGCAGGGCCACGCAGGCCACCGTGGCTGGGCTCCAGGCGCAGTAGGGGTCCCGGGCCAACACGCAGTCCTCACAGGTGCTGTGCTTCCCACAGAAGGCCACCGGGGCCTGGACCACGCCCGAGTTGGAACCGGCATAGATGAACCTTCTTCCCTGTGGATATGAACTGGTGAGCACGGGTGGGCCCGGAGCCAGCGTCCTGGCAGGGCCAAGGGCATCTTCTCCAGCCTCAGGGAGCCACGATGCAGTGCTTCCTGGAGGAGGAGGAGCCCCTCGCTCAGAACTGAGGCGGGTCCCACTCCAGACGAACCCGCGTGCAGGTGTGACAGCGCGAGCAGCGCATGGTGCAAGCAGAACCTGTCAGAGCCGAGAGCACGGGCCTCGGCCCGACCCTCCCTCATGTCCAGGCACCCCCGTCACCCCGACACCAGCAGAAAGCATCTCTCACCCGGTCAGCCCCTCTGGGGGGGAGAGCCCCAGTCGGCCAGCCAGGCCTCATCACAGGCCCAAGGCCACAGGGCACAACCTCAGAACCCGATGTGGGCACCGGAGCGCGGAGCGTGTCTGAATCCCGCACGGCCCAGAGTCGGAGGTGCAGACAGGTCGCTGGAGAGTGAACACACGCCAGGAAAGGAACAGGAGCCCGAGGCATCCGCCTCACACGCTGCACTGACGAGGGGGACCACGCAGAGGGAACCTGACCGCCACGCTCTGAAGCCGGCTCGGCGGGCCCCGTGTCGGTGTGGGGGTGCCACCCTCTGACCCTCCTTCAGGGCCCGGGCTGGCAGCTGGCACACAGGCTGTGGCCAGCGGATGCTTCGCTGAGCTTGGCTGGAACGAGGTCCCACGCAAGTCCCCCAGCAGACCCAGGGCGCGCACCCCGGTGCTGCGCTCTCCGCCTCTGCCCGGGAGCCTCTGTGTCGCCCGACACCTGGTCCACATGCGAAGACTCCGAGTCTACAGATGAGACCCGCAGCCGCCACCCTCAGAGGCCAGGACTGAATGAACTCCGGGGCGGCTGGAGCTCAGGTGCTGGCGTGGCCCCGACCTCCGGCCTGCGAGGCATCAGAGGCCACAGACCCTGTGTGGCAGGCGCCACCGAGAGAAGGGGCAGGGCCCCTCCGCACGCAGCCGCACAGGGAGCTGGAACGCAGGCCCCGCGGCCACTGTGCACGTCTGTGGACACTGGGCATCCAGTTAGGGTGTCGGGCCACGGCACTGACGCCAGGTCTCAGGGAACCACATGCCTGCACAGTGAGAACCATTCCTGGGGCGCAAAGCCTCAGAGCCCAGGAGGACCCACACGAAATGTGCACCCACACAGCACAGCACTGGGGCCTGGGCTGCCGGGAGCCCCCCAACACCGGGGACCCCGGAGCCCAAAATGACATGACGGGCAGGGGAGCACCCACCGTCTGGCGCGCCAGCAGCGCCCTCCAGGTGAGGCAGTGTGCCTGGGGAGGGGCCTGCGGGACTCCCCGCACTCACCCCTCTTCCTTGAGTTTAAAATTATTTCAAAATAAAACATTTTTTAAAGTAAAGGGAAAACATCCCGACGAGGACTGCCCAGCGCCTGCGAGGTTTGCTGAGAGCCCGGCCCCCTCGTCCACCCTCACCGGCCCCGGCCTCTCCGGGGACTGTGCCTCACCCACAGCCCGGGGCTCGCTGCCCACGGCCACGCAGCCTGGCTGGTGTAGGGCGATGTGGGCTGAGCGGAAGAGGCTGTTTAAGGTGCTCTCTCTCCTTGGCCAGGCGGCTGTCTCCCCACCGAGTGTCCTCGTGGACAGGAGACGCCGCCTGCTCTGGGAGCTCCCAGGCGACGGTGCAGAGCACGCCTGCCAAGTCTGCCCCACAGAACTGAGAGCAGGAGCCCAACCGGCGTCTGTCCGTCCGTCCAGAGCACCGTGGTCACAAGGGCCCAGGGTGGGGGCAACCGAGTGCCCGTCAAGGGGAATGGATGACGAAATGTGGTCCCTCCGCACAGTGGAGTGTGACTCAGTCCTGAAAAGGGAGTTCTGACACAGTGAGTGCAGCACGATGAGCCCGAGGGCGTTCTGCTGAGCACAGTCAGGCAGCCACCAAAGGACAAGTATGTGACTCCCCGATGCCGGTGCCCAGGAGAGCCAAGCTCACAGGTGGGCAGCAGATGGTGGGTGCCAGGGCCGGGGCGGGGGGTACTGGGAGTTGGGATTTAGTGGAGATGGAGGCTCAGATTTGCAAGATGAACGAGTTCTGGAGATGGATGGTGACGGCGGCATGACAGCGTGAGTGCACTCGATGTGGCTGAAGTGCACACTTAAACGTTGAAGTGGTAAGTTTTACGTGGTGTGTGTTTATCACAATAAACAGGGGCGTGGAGGCAGGGACGGGGAGCCGAGGGCTGTGCGGTCCTGCGCGCTCCCGCAGCCTGCGAGCTGCTCACCGGCTTTTGGCAGCAAGCCAGGTGATCAATGCTGAAGACCTGGTGGGCGGGGAGCACGGGGGCTCTTTTCAGCCCTGAACACCCACTTCCTGCCGCCCCACGGCACTGCTGGCACCCCCACCCTGAGCCCACCAGTCCGCGGAGAGGCAAGGAGGCCATGGCGTGCGGGTACAGTCAAACCTGTTCTAGGCAACAGGCCACGCCCCAGTGCAGAGGGCTCTTGCGGGGACAGGCAAACTGCCGCCCGGGGTGCCAGGCTTCCTGCATGGCCAAACCCCCTCCGGGCGTGGCCGCGTGACCAAGTCCTGGCTGAAGGCTTATGAGCACAGGACTGACCCATAACCACCCATACCTGCCCCTGTCCCTGCCCCTTCTCCGGCTACTGGATCAGTATCCCAGCACCCCGGAAGCCTTGGTTTTAGGACGCAGGCCCGCCTAGGCCCCTGAATGACACTGAGGAGCAGAGCATGTGTGCACTGGGTAACTGGTTGAAGAAAACTCAAAGGACTACTTGTGACATGAAATGGCAATTTCACGACCTGCAAGCTCAGTGCCCATCACCGATGCTTTGCAGGCGCACAGACAGGGAGCTCCCAGGCGACGGTGCAGAGTGCACCTGCCAAGTCTTCCCCACAGAACTGAGAGGAATGGGCCACACACTCCTGTGCACGGCAGGACGAGCCGCGTGGCCCTCAGAGCCTCACAATCTTGACCTTTCCAGGAGAGGCTGCTGACCTGATGCAGGAGTCCGTGCCGTCGGAGGGCAGGGAGCGGTGCCCGGGGGAGGCCCTCTGAGCTGATGAGCTCCCGCAGAGGCAGGTACTGCGGGGTCTCCCCCGCGCAAACTCGGGGCACAGAAGTGTTTTTGTTGCAGGCCAGCACGTACCGCACACACATCGTGTGGTGCCCAACAAGCCAGCGAGGTTCTGCCAACTTTCAGGAGAAAGTTAATCTCCCCAGACTGCCCTCTCTCCATCCCCGGCCCCAAGGAGCAAAGGACTCTCTGTGAGAGCCCAAAGGTGGCTCCTCTGGGCGAGATGGACAAAGGGCCTCTGGCCCAGCCCAGGGACCACTGAGACGCGAGGCCACCCCCCAGCCCAGGGACCACTGAGACGCGAGGCTACCCCTTGAGCCCAGGGATCGCCAAGACTAAGGCCACTCTCCAGCCCAGTGACTGCGAGGCCACCCCCCAGCCCAGGGACCACTGAGACGCGAGGCCGCCCCCCCAGCCCAGTGACCGCTGAGACG